AGGTTATACTGCGCTTTCTTAACCATAGAGGTTATACTGCGCTTTCTTAACCATAGTGGTTATACTGCGCTTTTGTGATGCAAAAGTCACTTCACCACAAACATAGCAGAAGTTATCTGCACTGTTCACACAAGTACGAGGCATCTCTGCTCACTTTGGCTAAACAGAAATGTGTCCCTTTGCAAAATCAAACACTGACAAATAAGAGAGCACGACACTGTATGATTTCTAGAGCTGATATAGGGCAATTTGTTCAGCAGAGTGATGTAAGCTTCATTATGATTGCATCATCCATGACTTCTAGGAATAACATGATGCAATTCGTATTGTGTATGACGCAATGCCAGCTTCAGATTGCATCATTCATTGTTTTGCCTAAAAAGCAAGTACTGTCCAAACCCAGTCATAGATTTATTCATAGATCCAGTCAAAGATGTATTTTAGTCATTTCTGGTTTAAATTGAGATCCCTTCCCTTTATACCTCACTTATCCTCCGCCATTCCCAAGTCAAGGGTCGTATATACTGCTCCAATAGCATATCTTGAAAACTAGAGCCAATCAACAATTTTAAGCATCATTTTCGTTCTCAGTGACCCAGAATTAGTAAAGTTTGACTACATTTATTTCAGAAGCATTTTGGCTGTAGAGCAATATAACAGCGTTCTTCAGCTAAGATAGACCTTTTTTTCTCCTGAGCGGGAAAGAGGTTAAATTTCTGGATTGTGGGGCCACTAGGAAGGTGGATTAGGAAATGTCATGTCCCTGAAGCTTTTTTCCCTACACAGTTTAAGAGCACTGCAGAAGCGCAGCTTCAGTCCAGTAGAGATCCTAATCTTCAAAGACCTGAAAGTTTGCTCCTGCAGTGCTTTACTCTTGGAATAACCAAAGCAAAAGACAAGCTTCATTCGTGTGGGGCTTAGAAATACCACAGGAATCTTGCTGGCCATCTATGTATGGCCTGTCAGCTATTCTATTCTATTCTATTGATTCTGACTCTTCAAGGAATTCCTGGAGGAAGGACTCTCCCAGAGTCTACTGTATGAATTGTAAAACCAAAGATGGATCTGAAATTCCTGTAACTCATCTGGTAGTATAGTTATGTAGTTCTCCCTAGATATGTTCTGATATTTTTGACACTGCTACTTAATGCAAACTGCAAGGAAAAGACAGCTTGGAAGAAGAGGGTGGGGGGATTCAGCTACTGAAAAGAAGAATCAGGAACCTCCTGGGAAACAGGACATCTGCACTTTGTGCTGCAGTTGTGCTGGTGAATAAAAACAAGGCACAAGTCAACTGTAACTGTGTAATGTCAAAAGCAAACATTCTTGATGAAGAAGGCAACATAACACATGCACTCTGTTCATCTCTGACCCCTGGTGATATAGATGCTGTTCATTCAGGCTTTGCAAACAACTCAGCTCTCACACACGTCCTCATCAATAATCATTAAGCTTCTGGCATTCTATGGCATTGGCTTTATGGAATTTAAAATCTGACTGCCACCTCACAACAGAACATCTCCTAGGTGATGATAATACCCATGAGTGCATTAGGTTTTTGAGGGAAGTAAGCAAATATGATATAAAACAAAGGTGTATCAGTAGAACAATACCCACCTCAGATGAAGACACACTTTTCTCCTCCCCCCTCCCACCAGAGCTATGAAGAGAAGCATGCTGAGAGGACTTTGCAGGGTTTATTGGCTATAAGCAGAAGATACTCTCCAAGGCTGACTCATACAAAATCTTAAAATATGAAAAATGTTGATTAAGAACACTCTGGGCATGATTGAGAAATAGGACCCCAAGGTATGTCTATAATAAGGTATGGAAACTAAAAAAGAGTCAGACCTCTTTAGCCAGATAAGTACTGGCAGATGGTTGACCTCAACAGCAAATAACACAACTGGATGGTTCAGTGTTCTACAACATTTCCCTTCATGTCTGGTTTCAGCCCATATATATATATATATATATATATATATATATATATATATATATATATATATATATATATATATATATATATATATATATATAGTAGTAGTAAGTAAGTAAGTAA